TGTATATATATATATATTTATTTATCGCACGGAGGAGGGGTTATTGGCCTCTTCCAACATTGTATCATACGGGGACTTTCCAATTCGAACCTGTCCCTGCCCCTCCGCCTGCCTGCAACCCCTGCCCCGGGCCCCAGCCGCTCGCGGCAGAGCCCACTTTTCCGGAGCCGCCGGACCCAATCGGATCCTAATCCGATCCCGAAATCCTATTCAAAAGCCTATCGGCCCGGACCCTAGTTCAGCATTAATTATAAGAGGAATTGGTTAGGATTTGAAATACGATTTGGGGTCGGTTTTGGGGTCCCGGGACGATAGGATTTCAGATGGGATTTGGATATGACCCAAATTATTTTGGAAGCACCTGCGCACTTCTAAAAGCTATGGTGTGGCAATCAATTTGTTGCGCAAACGAAATTTCAAAGCTTTAAAATATTTGAAAAAGTTTAGAAAAATTCAATTGTTTACATAATTGCTTGCGTTGTCTCAATTTCTTCGGATTTGTCTCTTATTGATTTTTGGCGCTTCCCCGAAGAGAATCTTTATCTATCTATCCAATGGAAGATTGCTAGAAACACAAGCGATTTTCAATCTCGCTTCCACCGCTGGGGATCTCCCCCACTGCTTCTTCCGGTGGCGAACATTTGCGCGATTTCGCAAGGAACAAGTCACAAATCCGCACTGTCACCCGCGGCTTCGCGACGCGAAAAAATAAGATTCAATAAGATTTTTCCGGGGGGGGATGCCACAATTGTATTGTTGTCTTATAAGATTCAAGAAGATTCGTTTTGATTCAATAAGATTCAATGAGGTTTAATCAATAAGATTCAATAAGAGTTTCCGAGCCGATTTTGGCAAACAGCCGCGCCTTTCATTCTCCCCCCCCCTAGACTTGAAACCCCCGAGAGCCAAAAACTCCTAAACCCCTAAACTCCAAACCCGAAACCCCTGCACCCTAAACCCCGAAGCCCAAACCTCTACAACCCCCACCCGCTGAAACCCTACAGCCAAAACCCCATAACCCCTAAACCCCTGAACCCAAAAGCCAAATGCACTAAACCCCGCGCATCCTCAGGCACCCCTAAACCCAAACCTCTACATCGCCACCCCGTTACCGAAAAATCGAAATCCCTAAGCCCAAAGTCCCTACGCCCCTCGGCCCACCACCTCTGCATCCTCATACCCCTCAACTTGAAACCCCCTAAACCCAAAACCCGAAATCCCCTAAACCCCTAAACTCCAAACCCGAAACACCTAAACTCCTAAACTCAAACCCTAAACCCTGAACCTCATAGCTCCTGAACCCCTGAACCCCAGACCCAAATGCACTAAACCCTGCACATCCTCAAGC